GACTGATCGGAGCGACACACACACACTTACAAACGAAGCACCAAAGACGTGCGGAACAGACGAACATAACAGCGACAACCTGAAAATAACGAGAGCCGCCTTTGGGAGTGTTCTTGTGGCCGACAACAATACCGACGACGACTGCATGCATGAGTCAAAGAAAGCGGAAGGCTTTCCAATTAATACGGTCTCAAATATGTCGAAGTTTCAACACTAAATAGTAGACTTAAACCGCTTTGTCAAATTATAAGACTTTCGGTTCGAAAACAATAACTTAGTCAGTACTTTATTGGTTGTGACCAGTGGCGCTGAGACGGCACAATAAATACTAATGAATGCGAAAAGTAAGTATTACAATCGGCCTCCCTCCCCCGCGCGACGCCTTCTCGTCGGTCACTCCGACTAAGTAAGAAGGACAACTAATGTTCGAAAGTTTGTACGGAATTGTTTAACAGACATAAAACGTGGGGCCTCGGAAATAATTGTTTACATTAATGGTGACCAAATCGTTTGAGACCCACTGAGATAACAATGAGAGAGTCCTTTAGCTCACTGAGTCTCTCAGTATCAGTCAGTCAGTGGAGGAGAGGACTCTCCACTTTGTTGTTGAAAAAACTCCTTATATCCGTTAGCATAGCTCGCTAGCACCAGAAGCTAACAACAACGATCTCCGGTACCGGTGCGCTCTCTCTCTCTCTCGCGCACGCACACAAAATGGCTCGTTCCACACACACACACAGAGCCAAGCTTTAATGAAACACAGAGACCCAGACGTAATAGTACTGTATCATATTATTTTCTAATCAATAATTTTTCAAATTATGATTTTTTTTTTTTTTTAATAGCCATTTTTCCTCCTGGTCTCTCGCGCCCCCCCTGTCATGCCTCTGCACCCCCCAGGGGGGGCGCGCTCCCCCACTTTGGGAACCACTGGGCTAAGGGAAAGGACATCTCTAAGCAGTTGACCAATAACAACAGAGCCGGTCAGCTAACCAATCAGAGCAGACTGGGCTCTGGTTTCAGACAGGTTGAAAACAGGCAGTACGAGAAAAATAAAGAGCTTTATGAACATTAAAGCATGGAAACATGTTACGGTAGAGCAAAAGAATACAATTACGAAACTAGAACTTTTGCATAATAGGGCCCCTTTAAATTAAGATATATTTGGACATATTCTCGCCCATCCCTTGATTAAATAATACTGGTAGAGTCTTAACAGTATTACGAATTTAAAACATCCCACTACCTACCACTTTTAGCATTGATGATTGTCAGTGATGGTGCATGCTGGGGGAAAACGTATGTACCTTGTGCAGCCATAGCTGTGAGTCGTCCCCTTGTTGCTGTACTGCTGCCCAACAAAACGAGTCCACATATGCAGCCTGCCTCCAAGAGAAGTTAGTGGGAGCAAAGCAGCTGATCTGGGTACCTGGGGAAATAAACAGAATAATTAGTCAGAGACAAAAACAAATAACAACAACTATTGTCAGCCCTCCCTCCTCTGAGCTCATGGCCTAATTTGTTGGTGGGTTGTTGTCAGTATACTTTGTGTCAATAACTATACCACCCTCTATATGGGGAGTGTTCATTACATCACATACGACCCAGATAGTCACCAGACAGTAACGTTTTGGCAGCACAGGGGCTGTCCCATTAAAATGAAAGAATGATGATTTTAAACAAATACAGCACATTCCCACTACAGCATCCTCATGATCCACTCTGATTGTGACACATAGACATATAACTAAATGCTAGTTATAGCAATTATAGTATGAGTCATATTCGTGCCTGTTGCATAAAGTAAATCACTGGGATTTCACATAATTGTAGGAAAGATCATTATGTCAATTGATGCCTAACTTGTACACGTTTTGAATGCAAATAGAAAATGATTATTTATAACTAGTGAATTACCTTAGTACATTTACTCAAATACTGTATTTAACCAACATTTTGAGGTACTTTACTTGAGTATTTCCATTTTATGCAACTTTACACTTTTCTGCACGTACATTTCGTAACAAATGTTTTGATTTTAACTTCACCATGTTTATTATTTTAACAGGACTAACTTTTCAAATTCAGCGTTCAATACAAAATATGATCAACTAATATATATTATAAAAATGAGCTCCACCTTTACATGCTGTAACATTATATATATATATATAAACATGAATACATTAATAACAATAATTATCCATTTATATGATTCTGAAATGGGCCATTCTGTGAATTTAGTACTTTTACATTTATATCTTAAGTATGTTTTGATACTGATATAATAGTACTGGAACGGAAGACATTTTCTAGTGATATAGCATTTCTTCACATGGTGTTGCTATTTCTGAAAACTGTTTTAAAAATATGATCCATCCCAAATATATCAATGAAGGAAGAAGGATGAAGACATTTAGCGGGGGATACTATATAAGTAACAACTGTAAGAAGAAAAGAAAGAAAATGTTATCCTTTCTTTGTGACTGAATTAATAAAAAAAGCCTTTTATATATCAGAAACCTCAATCCTGTCACTGACATGTAATACTGGGATACTTGAATATAACAGAGCCATTGTTCTTATTATACAGTAAGTAATACCTCTACTATGATGACAGGTCCAAATGTCTGCTGCATCTAATTGATCTAATATGTTGTAAAGTCAATACATCTCCTCCTTTGTGATTGCTATAGATTAATTAAGTCAAATCTATTTGGGCTTTCTGCCATAATGCACATTCACTTAGTATGATATGATAACATTATATGTCCATAATCATCAGAGGTGGGACAAGTGCTCTTGTACTTGAGTAAAAGTAGAAGTATTAGAGTGTAGGAATACTCTGTTACAGTAAAAGTCTTGCATTCAAAATGTTACTCAAGTAAAAGTACAAAAGTATTAGCCGGAAAATATGCTTAAAGTACCAAAAGTAAAAGTACTTATTATGCAGATTGGTCCATTTCAGAATATTATATGTTTTGATTATAATTATTGATCATTAAAGTGATATCAAAGCTGGTAAAGATGCATCTAGTTTGAATGACTTTGTATACTGCATATCTTGTAAATGTACTCCAGGTGTAACTAAAGTCTGATTTAAGTGTTGATTATATTTCACATTATAAATCCAAATATGCAAAGTAACTAAAGGTAATACATAAATATAGTGGAGTAAAAGTACACGATTAACCTCTGAATTGTAGTGGAGTGGAAGTACAAAGTTCCAAAAATGGAAATGCTCAAGTACCTCAAAATGAGTAAACGTACTTAGTCACTTTACACCTCTGATAATAATTGTGTCTTTCAGTCAAAGCTCCATAATACACATTGTCTGGAGACATGCAGTGTATTGGATGCTAGCAGTAGGCTATACTTGCAGATAATGATAACAACAGGCTGCAGGCATTATAACCTAACAAGATTACATGGGTTTGTTAACCCATGTTTGTTGGAGCTGTAGATATATATTTTTTTACTCTAACCGCCAATTTGTTTTGGGGAGATATTCTACTGTTCTTTTCAGTAATACAAATCAATAATGCACCAGTTAGTATGCCTAAAGTTTCCATCATTGTTTTTGTGCAATAGCTGCAGCAGCCTGCAACACTGTCTGTGCGTGAGATGAGCAGAAGGGTGGGGACTTTAACCACACCTTCTCTGGTATTCATTCTTCACGCCTTTCTTTTTCTGGGCTTTTACTGAATATACCACTCTAAATGCATCCACCTTACATGTGCCTTTAACTGTGGTTCAAAGAAACACATGTGCTACAGCAGTGTTAGCGTGGCAGGTGGAGAAAGACAAAGAAGCTCCACCAGGATCCCCACCGGCTGGATAGACTTCGAATTTTCTACATGGTGAACATTTAAGGGGTAAATAACCTGAGTTTGCTCCTGACAGGATGCTCACACACATTCAACAACTCACCCACTGACACCTCCTGAGCAAAAGCGAGGGAGATGAGAAACAAAGGCAGCCCCACCGCGAGAAACGTGACTATTTTGTCCACCGCCAGCTCCAGACGCACCCCTTTGTACTTGGGCTCCGTGGGGTCCTTTAGCAGAAAGTCGGAAAAAACGTACTCGGTGGCTACGTGGGCTATCGCCATGACGGACGGGAACAAAAAAGACCTGGTGTGGTCTAATTGACGGAAGGTTCAAGTATCTTCTTAATGAGCGAACTTCGGCTGAGGTTTGACTTAATTTAAACCCCCGTCAGTGTAGAAATGTGAGTGATATATACAACACTGAGGCGCTAGTGTTTACCCATCTCCATTCACTCCTGGGACGGATGGTTGAACCTGCTGTCCCGTTACTGTGACCCAGACATCACAGGGGGACGAGCCGCCTGCAGGCCGCTAGAGGCCGCTACTGTGCCGTAACGTGCACCTGCCTGGCAACAGCCTGATAGTTCACTGTAATAATAGCACATGGACATTAGATTTTCTTAAGTGTTTACTTCTAAGTATCAATAATGGATAATAATATTAGATACATCATATCGCATGTGTTTGTTTGAAAACATTTGTAAAGCCAAGTTGTAAAAGGCAACAATTTAATTAATCAGTCACCAAAAATGAAACCGCTACTCTATTATTTTCTACAATTTAACAAGCAAGTATCCCACTTTTTTTTTTAAACCCGTAAAATTGTAATGATCTTTTTTCTGAAGACATATAGAGTGCTCAATCAAAAAACTTCTACCCCACTTGTTTAGCTCTACATTTGTATTCAATGTTCTAAATGTGAGTTTACCTAAAAATGATCCTTTCTAGTTTTAAAGTCATACATTTTTGTAGAAAACCCAAAACAGAAAGAAACAAGTAAACTATATTTTGTTTATTATGTTGCAACCAGGTGTAAAAAGTAATATTTCCATCATTGTACATTTCAGCCAATTTAACGTACCAGTGTCGGTGAATTGTCCCATTTATCGATCACCAGTAATCACAACAACATTTTCGACAGCTGTGCATGCTTTCCGGCAGAAGAAGGTTACAAAAAGGTGCGCGTTTGTTGGGACTCAGACTCAGATGTGGAAATAGTGCTGAGGGGGAGATGCGAAGACGAGCTCTTCTCAGGTATCTAACAGAGTTACAAACTTGTTTTCAACATTTCTCGACATTAACAAATAATATAGTTTTCCCTCAAGACAATGAAGGGTAACACGCGGCGGTGGGCAACTTTGTGTCTGTTAAACAAGCTATGCTGATGCTTGTTATTGTGTTAGCTTCAATCTGACGCTAGCTCCGGGCAAACATTTGTAGCTCAGTGAATTAGCTCGTTTCAGTTAGCTGGCAGTCTAGCTACTCAGTTAACTAACAGTTAGCTGCTTCCGCCATACACAACGGTTCCTACACACGGGGAAGCTACATTAATGTGAGCTAGCTTGTAGCTAATTTAACGTTATTTGGTTTACTTGTTTTGCGTTTGTGGACACGCAACTCTTGTGTGTGTTAGCTTTATATCAACAATCCTTATCTGCGAGGCGAACCCATTGTTAAAGTAAACCCTGGTTACCCATAGGCGTTAACATCGACGTTTTAGTGTCTTAATTGTATCAGATTAAATACCTACGCCCTGGGTCATTAAGACATGATTTGCCTGACCCAGCAAGTGTGCACTTTTAACTTTCGTTTCCTCTACACAGGAAAGCATGAGAGCGAAGAGAGCTGAAAGTATGGTGAAAGACCTCTCTGGGTTGTATGATGGAAGGACTGAGAAATGAAATATCAATATGCAGCTCTAGGCCCTTCCCATGGCTCGGTCCCCCCAAAAAAGAGTCCTCAACCCTGCTATGGAAACTCAAAGACTGCTTCCCATCCAGTGAGACAACCCCTGCTCAGCAAACAGATAAAGAAGTAGGTATTTATCTTTGTACACAGTCCAGGTATTTGTACACACAAGTGGTATGTGTACACAGGCAAGTTGGATCATTTTGCAGGCAATCTCTCAATTTAAAATACTCTAGTCCAGTCATTAGAAATCCAGTTCTGGCCTACAATGCTACGAATACGGAATTTAGAATTTAAACTCATATTTACCCGGTGTATAGATTAACTTTACATCAATTTTGACATATTTAACTCTTGAACTGCCGTGTCATCATGGCTAAATCCAAATAGAAACCGTTTAAAACATTTTAATTTTACCATGACATTTCCAACTTGCTGATGTTTGTTTATTGACTGATAGACATCCACCACCTACAATCAAAGGGAAAATATCCCCCATTTGACCCTTAATGTATTATAATCTTCTCCTTTTTTGTGTTTCCAGAAAAATTACATGGACAGCAGAAAGGCTGTGCTGGAACTGAAAGATGTCCCTCCTCCTCCTCCGCACCATTCTTCCTCCTCCCAATCATCCCAGCCCTTCCCTATGGCCCCCTTCCCCATGCCTCCTCCCTGCTTGCTGCCTCCTCAGCTTACAGAAGACTCCCTCCAACCACAACCGCCACCACAACAACAAGAGGGGGCTAGCCCCAAAGTAAGCATTTACACGCACTGTGACTACTGTAGCACAGACAGCTATGGGTTATTGGGCAGTGGAAGTGTTGTTGGTAGCAGGAGCAGCATGGCTGGTGTTGTCTCGCTCTATATGGCCCCAGGCTCTCTGGGAGCACCCGGCAGCAGCAGCAGCAGCAGCAGCTCTGGCCCAGTCTGTTCAGTTTCCTCATCTGTTCATCAGTATAAACATCATATGAGCTGCTCAGCTGATGCTCTTGACCCTTTGCACACTCTTGGTTACAAACCTCAGATGTCTTCTTTGGTCGCTACCTCTCAGCCGGTTTCATCACACCCCTACCTTTCCTGCTGCTCAGGGCCTCCCCACAACTACCCAGCTGTTCCGGTTCCATGCAGCCAGCCAAACCTGTTCCCCTCCCAAGCACCTCTGGCTTCCTCTCTCCCCTGTGTTTCCTCTCTACCTGCTCCCTTGCATGCCTCTTGCCTGGCCTCTTCTGGCTACTACACCTGCGGGGTGGGCTGCTGCCCGTCAGCCAGAAGACCCCAGAGAAACACACTGGGTGATCACCCAACCACCACCACCATCACCACTACAACCACCTCTGCACACTTCTGCTCTAATCCTATGCACCTCAATGTAGAACGCACGGTTTGTGTGAAGGGGGCGCACTACTGCCGGGATTGCCTGTTTAAGGTTGGTTGAGTTCACTTCCATCACTGTGGCCTTTTCTTCTGTATTTGTTTGAGTTGGAGATCACTTTAGGTGACTTGATTCTATATATAATGTTAATTTCAGTTGTATTAGAATGGTTTTTGGTGTTAAATGCATGTATTATATTATTGCTTGCTGTTGGATTGTATTCCTCTTTTCTGAAGGTTTTATTGATTTGTACCTATTTTACAGCCTATGAATGGTCTGGCGTCAGAGTCAGGCGCAGTCTGGCCCAATGTTCCTCTTCCACAGACTGCTCCTATCCCTATTTGTAATGGCTGTGGCACCTCCTCTGATGGCATGATGATCATGCCGTCAACCAGCCTTGGCAAGAGTGGCCTGAAGTATGGTTAGTGGAGTCTACCATTTAAAAATTCTCTCACTTTTTACTAGACTTTAATTTTTGATTGAGGGTCTTGATTAGACTCTTTGAAATAGCAAGCTCTTTTGAGTGAAGTGGATATAAAATGTTACTATCCAAATCTGACTAAAATAACCTTAATCGAAGCTATTAAAATGTTTTAAAGTGTTTTAGTGTCTTTAATAACATTTTGTAACTGTCTGCTAGGTTCTCCAGAGAATGGGGGCCCTGAGAACATCCCTCCGGTGGGGGTCTTCTGGGACATTGAGAACTGCAGCGTGCCCACTGGACGCTCTGCTGGAGCCGTGGTGCAGCGAATCCGCGGCCGGTTCTTCCAAGGCCACCGTGAGGCCGAATTCATTTGCGTCTGTGACATCAGCAAGGAGAATAAAGCCGTCATCCAAGAGCTCAACAACTGCCAGGTACCAACAAATGTCATGTCAATTATTTCCATGGTTGCACTATTAGAACAATTTGCACCCTGAACAAATATCGTTGAGCTACAGTTTTATGATGGGCAGAGATAAAATGTTGGGATTAGACGGGAGTCAATTTACCAGGGAATTTTCTTAACTTTGGATATATTTGACAATAAATATTCTAATGCCATTACATTTTGTTTGGCACAAAATTGGGTACTGCCAGTGTTGGCAGGTATTTTTCACATAGGTTAGTTACACAACAGCGAGGGCACTATAGTGGCTATGATGCACGCTGGTGACTGGACATATACTGACTTTCCTGTTGTGAGTTTATTTACTGCTGTTGCATATCCTTTAAAAACAAGCCATAACTGTGCATGTCATAGGTGCGCTTTGTCACAAAGGGCCCTCCATCCCTGACAGCGCTCCAGTGTTGTATGCTTGAATTTCTCCAAAAAAAAGAAATTATATACATATGCGTTGTCATAATTTTTAAATCAATCGATTGTTCCCAAGCTGAATAATTTCCACAGATAATTTTCCATTTTGTCTGGAAAATTGAAACTGGGTGCAGAATATTGGCCATTTTCTTTTATAGAAAAAAAAATGCAACCTTTTTGATGTTGTACAGATTGAAATGAAAGCCTGACAAGTAATGCCCCAAAAGAAGGAACAAGAAAAGAAAATTCAGCAACTGCGAAACGTCTCAAACTAATATAATTCTGTCCCATCAGGTTACTGTTGCACACATCAACGCTACAGCCAAAAATGCAGCGGACGACAAGCTTCGGCAGAGCCTGCGACGCTTCGCTGAGACGCACACCGCCCCCGCTACTGTCGTACTCGTATCCTGTGAGTTCCTCCTGGGATCACTATAACAAACTACAGACACATACCACATTTTTTGTGGTAACACGTGTAATCTTTTCTTTTTTATAGCGGATGTAAACTTTGCAAGTGAGCTGAGTGACCTGCGCCATCGCCACGGTTTCCAGGTTGTCCTGGTCCACGGCAACCATGCATCTCCAGCGCTGCTGCAGCATGCCAACCGCCACGTGGCCTTCCAGGAGATCACAGCAGATCTGCCTCCACGTATGCTTGTCAAAGCACAGGTAGGCCTCACAAAATGATTCATTAGGACTTTTTAGATCTAATGTGTGAAATAAGGTAAGTTGGTGCTGGCAAAAGTAACCAAGGGAAATGTAGTGTGGGCTTTCCAAGAGGGCAGAGAGGCAGTTTTAATGTGAATAAAAACATCTTCACAAATATTTAACTTTTTCTTTTAAGGGTCATTATAAAAACAAATCTGAGAAATTATACAAACCAGACAGGCGCGCTGTCTCTTCCTCCCCTCCCTCAGCCCAGTTTCAACCTCCTCTATGTGCACAACCTCCCTGAGAACTGTGATAAGAGCCTGCGGAATGCTGTGAAGCTCAGGCTGCGCCGCCTCTCAGACAACTGTGGTGGCAAGGTGCTGGGCGTGTCCCAGGGCACAGCTGTCCTCCGTTTTGGCAGCAATGAGGCAGCGGCGCGTGCCCGCAAGCGAATGGAGAATGAGGATGTGTTTGGCCGCAGTATCAGCCTCTCCTTCTCCCCGCGGCCCAGAAACGATGCGAGTCCCGAGCCTGAGCTTCAGTCTCAGCCCCATCAATTGCCACAGCCTATGACTCTTCCCCACACCAATCACAGCCAGGATTCAATGTTTGGCCCGCCCCCATCCATATCCTCCTTCTCCTTCCTACCCCTGGAGAAGCCAAGGTCACCCAGGAGGCCACGGCGAGCGACCCGCCCGGGCAACGCCCCTGGCCCAGAGCCTGAAAGGCCCTACAGCCCCAGGAGGGGGTGTAGTGGGCCCCCCGGTGGTGCTCCAGCCAAGCCCCATCAGGTCAGCAGACTCGTCAGTGCCTGCTTCCTGTTAACCTGCGTTGCCGTCTATCCTTGTCTGGGCTGCTATGTAACCCCCCCCCCGCCAGTGTCCCTGTGAATGCTGCTTTGACTAACTGCTCATAAATGCTCACTAAGCTTCATTTGTCTGCCTGTGCTAGCATCTTAGCCGCCGCCGCTAGTGCTTCGTGTGTACGCCTTGTCCTGCATGTTCGTTGGTCATATTAATGCATGAATTAGCCTTTAGCTTGTGCGCATCTTTCTGACTGTACAGTCTATTAGTGCTGGTGTACTGCTTCATGTAGCTGAACAACTGAGGTTTGTAAGTAGCCACTCTGTGTTTTGTCTGCTCCATGCCTCTTTCATTTGCATGGGCCCGTCCAGTTTTCTGCTTAAAGTGACCTCAAATGACTGTAAAGAATGGCTAAGCTTGTATGTGTTTTTTAGCTCCAAACTAACTGATACTAACTAGGGATGAGTATCTGAAGTTGTTTCTGTAGTTTGATGGTCTCATTCAGCACCAGAATTGAACGAAAACTGAAATGTGTGATCTCTAAATCACCGGATGCCTGAGACTAGAATTGTTTCACGGGTCTTGTTAAAGTTACTTACAGTTGTAAAGCTATATCAATAGAACTAAGCTCCACAAAATAAATGTAGTGGTGACCACTGCTGTTTTCTAGGCAGCAAGTGGACTTTAAGTGCACATCCCTAGTTAAACCTCAACATCAGTTTTGCCATTCCATGACTCCTTCCCTTAAGCTTGCCATATCTCATGCATGCACACAAACACATCAACAGTATCCTGCCTGTTAACCTGTTCAGTATTTACATCTGCGGCCTCTTGTCTGATCTAGGAGCTGGGGATTGTGAAGGGTTTCCACACCCTGGAGAAAGGACGAGCTGCTTCCTCCTCCCCCCACAGCAACGAAGAGACCTCCCTGCAGATGCTGCCAAAGCCTGGCCTCATTGGAGAATCCATGTACAGGAGAAGGTACGGGAAAGGGGATATTAGACTGAGAAGGATGCGTTTTATAACTAGATGAAAACTGTTTCTGTACATTTGCTACAGGAAGCAGTACGTCTTCTTCTGTTGTTTATTTTCTAGCCAATCAACAAGTTCTTGTAGATCTTTTAGCATTGAATTCTTAAAAGAAAAACCTTATTTGGAAAGATTTGTCTTTAAAACCCACTTACAATTGTGTTAAAAATACTATGACATGGATGTAGGATTTTAAGAAATATTTCTTTCTGATGTTAAAACAAATCTTTTTAGTGCAGCCAAATAAATTAAAGTAGTTGGAAGCCGAGCAGAGTGAAGAATGTTGTTTTTACACATGTGCCTCTTTTTTTCTCTTTCCCTTTAGAAGAGAGGGCTCCTACCCTCGCAGTGGGACTGAGTCCCCTATAGACCAAGGGGACAGGAGCTCAGGGGACTTCCAGATCAGCACACCCTCAGCCTTCAGCAAGTTGAACCTGCACAGGAGCTTCAGCCCCCTCATCCTGTCCCAGGGCTCCTGGTCGTCAAGGTGACTTATTGTTTTTTAAATATTTCATTAAGTTAACCAAGGTGGTGAACCGCTTATGCCTCATGCTACTTTTCCTCAATTCAGTGGTGGTTATTATCCCAAAGTGGTGTCCCCCTTCTCTAACTAAAGGAGTGCGTCGCCCTGCCTGTCCAGCCGCTCCTCCCCCCTCCTCACTGCCCCGCACAGCCCGTGCCCTGAAGGGCCTCCTGAGCCATTCTCAGACGGGGCAGACGTGCAGGTGGCCAACCTGGACTACAGAATGTCCCGCAAAGAACTGCAGCAGACACTGCATGACACTTTCACCCGTTACGGGCGGGTAAGACCTCTTCCAGTGACGTCATTGGTGTCGATAAGATATGCTTGTATCCTCAGTCAAAAATAACAAAAAGCTCTTCGGCTGGGTTTCTAAACTTGAAGATTCTCCCCCTTGTCTCATAACATCTCCTTGTGGTGTGACTTGTTTTGTCTAGGTGAAAGCTGTGGAGCTCAGCCCGCACACAGACTATCAGCTGAAGGCCACAGTCCAGATGTTGTCCCTGCAGCAGGCCATCAGTGCCGTCAGCGGCCTGCACCGCTATAAGATCGGAGGCAAGCGCATTCAGGTGTCTCTGGTCACCGGGGGCGGCAACAAATCCCTCGCCATACTCAGGTACTGTCAAGCGTATTTAAGTTAGGGCGTCTTTCAGATTTAGGACACCAATGCACATTTTATAAGATGTTCTGGTTCGGTTGCAGTGTTGAATGTAAACCCTTTTCCCCCCATACAGCACAGAGATCATCCACATTCTTCAGGATGCACCTGCCAATTGCCTTCCCCTCTTCAAGTTTACAGAGATCTATGAGAAAAAGTAAGAAGCTTTACCTCTTAAACATGATTTTACTCCTACATATTTTGCAATTGGATTACAACAATTCCAAAATAATTCCTAAGTAGTTAATCCTTTCTTCTCCAGATATTCCCGTAAGCTTGTGGTGGGGGACCTGTACAGGCTGCCTGAGGTGGTGGCAGTGCGGGAGCAGGGAGGCTCCAGGCTCGTGTGCCTGCTGCCCAGCAGCCAGATCCGTCAGAGTCCTCTGGGGTCCTCCCTGTCCCAGGAGGTCTCCTCCTCAGCCAGCGGCAGCCCCGTGGTGTTCGAGGAGCTTGAGTACCATGAACCCGTCTGCAGAGACCACTACACACAGAGGGACTTCAGGTTGGTAGAGACATTTGTATTTCAGATTTAATCAGTATCTGATTAGATGTGTATTTCTTGAAATGCCCACTCGGGTGAAAATTGCTTTAAAGCCTAGTGTGCAATGGCCAACAATACTGAAAGTCTGCGACGGCCCTATAGCAGTGTTTCTCAAACTTTTTCATACCAAGGTCCACTTAACCAATAAAAAAACACTCGCGGACCACCTAACTCCACAAATATTCCAAATCACATCGTTTTTCTAACAGATTACAAATCGCCTGAAAATGGTACAAACAAGTGGCAACATGTGTGATGAAGGTGTTGCACTGGGCTATATCATGCGATAGAAAGTGAAAGTTAAGCTCGCTCCATTGCGTAGATATTCCTGCGAGAGTGTGGAAAACTTTGAGAAGCACTGCCCTATAGGGTTTGAATCATCAACCTTATGTCTCCAATCACAATTCTCTAAACTGTACCACACTGATTTTTTTTTTTTTCCAGTGAAGCTGACTTTGACCCTGACTCCTATAAAATACCCTTCGTTGTGATGTCTCTAAACACCTTGGCATCTGAGGTCCACAGTCTGCTGCAGTCACACGAGGGAACTCTTCCATTACTCAGGTGACTACCATCTTTCTAAATCCAATGTCATAATCAAACTGAGCATTTTTTTTAACAAAAGGGCCATAACGTGGTATATTTACCTTACAGTTTTCCAGACTGCTATGCATCAACGTTCAGCCCCCTGCAGCTGGGCACTGAGACTCTGCAGGACGGTGTTCCTCTGGAGCACCTCATCACATGTGTTCCCAGTATTACTATCGTCACAGCTCAGAACGGCTTCAAAGTCATCAAGTGGATCCACAACAAACCGCCAGCACCAAACTCCGGTAGGAACATTGAAACATTTGCTTTGTTAGAGCTTTTCCTTCAATGCCCTACCTACAAACTGCTTTCTTTAGCAGCCAGATATTTCCATTTCAGAGATCTATATTTGTGTGGGTTTTTAATGCAGAGCCATGGATTCAGCGCTGCAAGAGTCCAGTTGGAAACCCACAGCTCATCCAATTCAGCCGAGAGATTATCGACCTGTTAAAGAGTCAGCCTTCCTGCCTCATGCCCATGAGCAAGTTCATACCCTCCTACCACCATCACTTTGCCAAGCAGTGCCGTGTCTCCGACTACGGCTACTCCAAACTGCTGGAGCTGCTGGAGGCCGTGCCACACGTCCTGCAGGTACTGCTGAAAGCTCTGGTCTTTCTTAATCCAAATATCTGAAGACTTACAATATCTGTCAAATAGTGAGGGTGAAAAGTAATGTTTGTTATTTGTTATATATTGAATCTGAGCATGTAGACACATGCTCAGATTCAATATATGCTTAAAATCTATATTTTAAAATATGCTTTAAATCTATATTTTAGGAAAAATCAGCAGTACCATTTACTGAAAGACAAATATAACACGATAAAGTGTCTGTATCTCAGAAAATACATTCAGCAAGTATTAGTTTAGCTCTCTAAAGTTCAATTTCAAAGATATGAATTTAAAAGGTTTTCTTTCAAAAGTTTTCTAATTCGGGAAAAACGTTTTAGCATTTTCTTTGGTACTTAAAATATTCCTCAGACACAACTGAGTGAATAGCGATGTTGTACTTTAGGTTTTTTGTTTTCTACATGGTGTTTTTGATCTCCTTCACCTACAGATTTTGGGAATGGGCACCAAGCGTTTACTGACTCTGACTCATCGGGCTCAAGTGAAGCGCTTCACCCAGGACCTGCTCAAACTGCTTAAATTTCAAGCCAGCAAACAAGTGGCAATCAAGGACTTCATGCAAGCATACCATTGGTCAGTCAACAGGTCATGTGTTTTGAATTGCCTTTGTATAATGTTGAATATTATCAAAATTGTATTTAGATAGATTCTAGCAGTTTGCTTGTGATTTCTCCCTTAAAGGATATGTTCAATAAAAGTACGGCTCATCACTTTTCTTACACCTTGTGTACATCAGGTGCTTCTCTAGAGACTGGAGGGTAGTTGACTACGGCATATGTGACCTGATTGATCTGCTGACGGAGATCCCCGACACCACCATCACTATCGCACATCAGGACACGGACACCATCATCTCTGTTCCCAAGAGAGGTCTGTCCGAATGCTGTTAAAAAGATTGATTTGGAAATTGTGTGTATTGATAATAACATAATCGAAGATGATCATTAAATGTTCATTTAAGAGATAGGGATGTTAAAAATACTCATTATAACAATATCGTAGTTGAATACAGGATTAATTAATTCAAGCCGATAGTTTGAGAATTGTTCTCTTTTTTGTTTAGTTTTCATTGATAAGATTTGCCTGAACTCCCTTTTTGATTTGCCTACAGAGCGTACGATGGAGGAAATGGACCACACTAAGCAGTTTGGAAAGGAGGTGGTGGACCTCCTCCGTCACCAGCCTCACTGCCGGATGGCCTTCAGTAAGTTTATCCCCACCTACCACCATCACTTCGGCCGTCAGTGTAAGCTCAGCTACTACGGCTTCACCAAACTGATTGAACTCTTCGAGGCGATCCCCAACATTCTGATGGTGAGTTGTTAAGACTTGTGTATTTGTAAAGTTGAATGCCTTGTGGTCTTTGGTGATCCAACTCTAAGGTAAAGGTCAGTTCATCTCTGGTGTGTAATGATGGCTTGTCCAACTTCCCTTTTTTAGGCGGACTTAACAAGGTTATAGAGTGTTGCAGGAATGACTCCTGAACGCCCAAATAAGTTAGCATGTTAGCACTTCCGGCTTCCCTCGCCTCAATGTTTATTTGTATGCGTTTTTGGTTTGATGTCTGAAAGAAGTTCTGTGACATTAAGTAAATGCCCCACTGGCTTTTGCTTGAATAAAAACAAGTCAGTTGCTCAAAATTGACAAAATGAAAACGTTTAACGTGGTCAAGCCAGACATTAGCCACCTTTAGCTTAGCAGTTGTGACACGAGGTCATGCCACCTCAATACAGTTCCTTTATAGCATTACGCTAGCTCTTTACTTCTGGTGATTGCTTTACGGTTCAAAAAAGTGGTTTTAATATGTGGAAAGCATCATAAACATGTGTTTGCCACAGATCTTAGTTCCTGCAATATTCCAAAACCCAATGGAAAAAATCCCGTTGTTTTCCTCCGGGTTGGTCTACAGAAATATGCCTTTTCCTCTGTCTCTGCCTGAACAGTAATGTAACATCTGTCCTCTACCTTTTTCAGGTGTTGGAGTGTGGAGAGGAGAAAGTGCTGACTCTAACAGAAGTGGAGCGCATCAAGGCTCTGGCGGCGCAGCTGGTGAAGCTGCTGCGGGCTCAGAAGAACTCCAGCCTTCCTGTCAGCCAGCTGCTCACCGAGTACAGCAAGACCTTCGGATACGGCCTCCGCCTGCAGGACTACGACGCCAGCTCCCTGCCCGCTCTGCTCACCAAACTCTGCCATGTTGTCAAGGTGAAGGACACCTACACATTTAGTTTGTTCTGTTTCTGTGGATGTTACTTTCTAATTTTGTAGATTTCAAATGACTGCAAATACATTGGGTTTCTTAGCATTTCCTTTCTTTAAAAAAAATGTTTTCCTTACAATTATACTCGGAGAAGGGATCCAATGTGTTACAAATATTTTTAAATTAATTTAGGAAAAATAGCAATACAAAGGGAGGCCTGGTGAAACCCCACTAATGACACTTGTTTTATTCTACCTATGTTTCAAATCTAAAAAATCAACAACCTTCTTATCAACAAATCAAACGTTTTGACACTTTACTGTGATGGTGATTAACCCTAACGGCCCGTCTACACTACAGGCATAAAAAAAATCTTGAAGCTGGGCATGTCTGAAGCTGGGCATGTCTGAAGCTTGGCGATTTTTTGCGAGTATCGTGACCAACAACCAATCACATGAATCTCCCGCCCCCGACATACAAAGCAATAGCAATGTTAAAACGAAGTAAACTGGATATAAACTCTCCAAACAGGCGAAAACCTACCAGTTTCACCCACTGTCTCTGCCACCTCCCTCCATGCCTGGTTCCTCCGGTTTGTATCCCGGTAAATAGTTCTGGTCGTAAAGAACCGGGTGATTTGCTACCGTAATATCTCGTTTGGAATATGAGGATATGAACTGCGGTCTGGCTCTCCCAGCATGCACACGGTTTGATTGGCTAGCGCTTGCACTGGAGGGATTTGCATAAACGGGATTTGATTGGCTGATGCCAGCTTCACAAGCATTGGGAGCATCAAAAGTTGAACATTGCTCACATTGCTTACTTTTGATGCTCACGATGCTTGCAAAAGCCATGCTCCGCTCCGATCAGTAGATCTTGAAGGCAAATTAATGATTAATCGCCAAACATTAAATAATTTAGGGCGATCCCAAAACATGTGAATTTAAGTGGCTAGGTTCTGCTTGCACCAGTCACACATGGGGGTTTTATTGAATGTGAAGTGGGATAGTTAAACTTCGGCCCAGAGCAGCAGAACAGTATGCCACATACATATCGAAGATGAATATATTCTCAAATCAATCCATGCTCTAAACATAAAACATCTTAAAGCCTCTGCCTAGCCTTTAGGGCAGTTAAGTTTATACATTCTATCTTTATTAAATAATATATGTCACCTAGCTTTGACTTTCAGGAGGTTATAATGTCATTGATTGAGTCTTGAGTGTGTCCTGGGGTCTTTGAAA